ACCCCAGCCAGGCAGGCTGTGACTGGGCACCTGGGTTCCACAGGAAGAAGGCTGAGCGGGGAAAGCTGTACTTCACAAACCTCCAGAGCAAAGATAACGTCCCCACCATGATCAACCCCAAGCCCTGTGGCCACCTCTGCTGCTGTGTGGTGCGAGGCTGTGAGCAGGTAGGAGGTGGGCTGGCCCAGGGGCGTGCCTGGCCTGGGCTCACACCCAGGCCCCAAAGCTGCAGGTGGCATGGGGAGGAGTCGGAAGGTCCTGGGGGGACAGGTCACAGCAGAGATGGATGCTCCCTGTGATGCATGTCCCACAACGCTGGGAGCACACACATAGGCAGGCCCTGCACATAATGCCCAAAGGTAAACAGACTCCCAGAGGAGGCCAGGCCGGGCTGGAGCCAGGCCAGGGCAGGGCGCAGCACCTTTCTCAGTGGCCCTTCACCTGTTCCTCCAGTCCTTGCAGCCCCATCCCCATGGTTGGGTTGTCCCCTGTCCCTACAGTGACCAAATTGTCAAGCCCTGAATCAGAAGAGGTGAGCCGAGAGGACAGTGTTGTGCTGTTACTGGCTCACTGGCTTTTAGGCAGGTTTCTTAACTGCTCTGTGCCTCAGTTTCCTCATCTGTAAGATGGGGCTAAGTGTACCTACCTCATAGGATTGTGAGAGAGACGGACAGCTCAAAGCAGTGCCTGGCCTGTAGGAAGCTGTAGGTCAGTGCCGGCTGGTGCTGTGGGCTCTCTGCCCAGATCTGCCTCACCCTCGCTGGCAGGTGGAGGCCATCGAGTACTACACGAAGCTGGAGCAGAAGCTGAAGGAGGACTACCAACGGGAGAGGGAGAAGGTGAACGAGAAGCCTCTTGGCATGGCCTTCGTCACGTTCCACAATGAGACCATCACCGCCATGTGAGCCTCCTCCCAGCCTGCCCTCCCCCAGCCGAGGCCCCCAGTGATCAGCAGGGACTCCCAGGTCCCTGGGCTCGTCAGCTGTCGGCAGTGGGGTCCCCACCGGCTGGTGCCCCGGTAACTGGTGTCTATCCCCACAGTATCCTGAAGGATTTCAACGTGTGTAAATGCCAGGGCTGCACCTGCCGCGGGGAGCCACGCTCCTCGTCCTGCAGCGAGTCCTTGCACATCTCCAACTGGACCGTGACCTACGCCCCTGACCCCCAGAACATCTATTGGTGAGCAGAGGGCAAGCTTCATGGGACCTGGGTGGGCTCCAGTGGGCAGAGGGGAGGGGAGGGAGAGCTAGGTGTCCCTGGGGACCAACCAGGCATCCGGTCCCTGGAGTGACTGCCTCCCCTTCCTTCCCAGGGAGCACCTCTCCATCCGCGGCTTCATCTGGTGGCTGCGCTGCCTGGTCATCAATGTCATCCTCTTCATCCTCCTCTTCTTCCTCACCACCCCGGCCATCATCATCACCACCATGGACAAGTTCAACGTCACCAAGCCCGTGGAGTACCTCAATGTGAGGCCACGTGCCCCACCCCTCCACTGTGTGTCTCAAGACACAGAAATTGGGCTCTGAATCCCTCCTGGGAAGGGGAGGGAACCAGAATGCCTCCTGCCCCACAAAAAAAAAGAAGTTCCCCCGTGACCGTGGGCTGCAAATCCCACTGTGTGCTTCCCTGGGTTCCTCGCCACCTTCCCCCAGGGGAGCCCACCTTGCATGTGCACACACACACAGAAACACCCGGGGAAGAAAGGAAGCCCAGGCCCATCCTAACTGACCACGTGACCTTGGATAAGTCCTACCCCTCATCCCTCGTTCTCCCCAACAGTAGAATAGAAGGTTCAGACTAGGTTGTTGGCTTCCCGACTTGGAGCTTTTATCAGAAGGAATCTTACATGAAACCCAATGTGGAAAATCAAGGCTCCTCAGATGACAACAGAGTGGGGGACATTCCACCTGGTCTCCCCTCACCCCTCCTGCCACATCATTCAAAGGAGGATAGTTTGGAAATCTCTGAGCGATAAGAGCACAGTAGATAAGACCCAGGCTACCTGGGTTCAAATCCCCACCCCACTGCTTACTAGATGGATTAGCTATTGAATCGTGTGGGGGTTTTGCCTCAGTTTGCTCATCTGTAAAACGGAGTAATAGTGTTACGAGGAATACATGTAAAGTACATGATCAGTGCTTGGCACGTAGTACGTACTCAGCAAATACTAATATATTTCACCCTGCGGTTGTGCCTATGGCCCTGGCCCCAACCCTCAACCCTTGGCCTCCAGGTGTTCTGGACTTCTGATGTGGGGTCCAGGGCTCAGTGGGGGAGGGGGCAGGTAAGCAAAGCAAGCCGGACCCACTAGACTTCCCTCACCTGACCCCCCCATGTACCCCTGCAGAACCCCATCATCACCCAGTTCTTCCCCACCCTGCTGCTGTGGTGCTTCTCCGCCCTGCTCCCCACCATCGTCTACTACTCTGCCTTCTTCGAAGCCCACTGGACACGGTGAGACCCCTCCATATCCTGACCCCTAGAGGCACACCCGTGCCACTGGACAGCCCTTTGCCACTTAGGCTCCCTGCCCCCGGGGTCCCAGAGCTGGCAGGGAAGGGATGGTGCCAGCATCCTCACCGTGGGAAGCCCCCTCTTCCCAGGGGCCCCTCCTGGGACACTGTGTTGGCTGGGGGAGCAGCATGGGGACCGGCCCGCCTGACCTCGGCCCCCCTGCCCCCGGCCTCAGCTCCGGGGAGAACAGGACCACCATGCACAAGTGCTACACCTTCCTCATCTTCATGGTGCTGCTCCTGCCCTCGCTGGGACTGAGCAGGTGGGTCCGCAGGAAGGGACAGGGGCTGCCAGGGGAGGGGGGGTCGCAGGATGGGGAGAGGGAGCAGTTCAGGCTCCCACCTCCCCTCCCAAGCGAGGGACCCTGTGTCTAGGGGCATCCTCAGAGGCTCCTGGCTGGGACTCCCCGTCCCTACTCCAGCCCCCCACCACACCTCTCCTCCCCTCCAGCCTGGACCTCTTCTTCCGCTGGCTCTTTGACAAGAAATTCTTGGCTGAGGCAGCCATTCGGTTTGAGTGAGTGACCGGGGCCCCCAGGGAAGAAGACTGGAGCGAGGATGGGAAGGCCTGGGAGACCCCTCCTGCCCCTGGGAGGGCACAGGAACGCTTCCTGCCCCTGCCCCTGCAGCGGGAGGAAGAGGGGCTCACATCACAGGCTGCCGGGATCATCCCAGAGGACCCTCACGTGTCTCAGGCGTGTGCCTGGGAGTTGTCCCTGGGGTTGTGTTGGGGCTCACTCCAAGGTCACCCCCAAGGTGTATTTAAGGCCACACGGAGGGGGGCGGGCGGGTGCTTGAGGGCTCTGGGTTTGTATTCTGGGGTGGACTCTGGGAGTCTAGAGTGTCCCTTGGGAGGTTTGGAGAGGTATGCGCGGTGGGATCTTGGGGGTTCCTAGAGGTCTCCTTGAAGGTCTCTGGAGAGTATCTGTGAGGGACTCGGGCTCACACTTTGGGGTACTTACGGGGCACAAGTTCTGGGAACACCTCTCTCTTCAGGCTCCCGTCCAGAGGTGTGACTGGCATTCTTTCTGGGCACCTGCTCGGGGAGTCCCTGGGAGGGTGTCTTAGGGGTGTGTGCCATGGCTGTACTGTGGGTGCAGCTCTCAGGGTCTTGCTCTGGGCCACCTGTGGGAATCTTGGGCTCACACTTGGGGTGCCTTGAGCGTCCTGGGCTCTTCCCTCTGAACATCTCTAGGGGAGGATTTCTGAGCTTGTGTTCTAGGGGTGACAGAGGCTCATCCCCGGGGGTAACTTTGGGTTCAGTTAAGGCCTACAGAGGGGAGCCTTCTGGGTGTTCCAGGGCACACTGGGGGGAGGGGGGGGATCGTGTCTCAGGGGTTGTCTCTGACGATATCGGAAGTCATACCCTGAATACTGGTGGCCTTAGGGGTCTCCAGCGCTCTCTCCATGGGGCTTTATGGGGCACAGGTTCTCAGGGCACCTCTGGGTGCCCACGCACATGGAGGGTGTCCGAGGTGTCGCTGACACCCTGGTGTCTGCCTATGGGGCTCACACTCTGGGGGGACTGGGCCACCCGGGCGCTTGAGGGCTGAGTTGGGACACCTGGTGCCCACAGGGCAGCTGCGGGGAGGGCGGGGTATGGTGCTGGTGCAGTGGGCAGGAGGCCCCCAGGCCCCCCAGGGTACAGTGCTGGAGCACCCGGTGCCCGCAGGTGCGTGTTCCTGCCCGACAACGGCGCTTTCTTCGTGAACTACGTCATTGCCTCCGCCTTTATCGGCAACGCCATGGACCTGCTGCGCATCCCAGGGCTGCTCATGTACATGATCCGGCTCTGCCTGGCGCGCTCGGCCGCCGAGAGGCGCAACGTGAAGCGGGTACGGCCGCCCGGCGCAGCGGCCCGCACAGCGCCCCCTGGTGGGCCCGACCAGAAACAGCGGCAGTGCTAGGGTGTGGGGCTTCTGGGTGCTGGGGCAGCCCCATTCCCGGCCCTGGGCTGTCCCCCTCCCACCTGGGCCTCAGTTTTCCCGTAGGTGCAGTGATGAGTCGACACAGATAACCCTGAAGGCCCTGGCCAGTTCTGAGGGTCTAGTGCTCTGTGGTGGGAGCTGGGGGAGATCCAGGTCCCTACCCCTAGGGCCCCTGGTCCTAACCCCACAGGACTCTGAGCATCCATTCCCAAGTGCACCCCCTGCCAGGCCCTGCTCCCTTGAAGGCCCCTGCCCTGTCGCTCTCCACTCTGACCTCCTCCTCGGCCACAGCTCCTCTCTTCATCTGCTTTGCCCTGCCCTGCCCTGCTCTGGGTTCCTTTTCCCCACTGCCTTTCCTGGCGCCCTCCCCTCCCACCTGCCCTGTGCCCCTCCAGGCTCTCCCTCCCCGCCCTGAGCCACCTCCTGCCCATCTCCCCCCCAGCATCAGGCCTACGAGTTCCAGTTTGGCGCAGCCTACGCCTGGATGATGTGCGTCTTCACGGTGGTCATGACCTACAGTATCACCTGCCCCATCATCGTGCCCTTCGGTAGGCACCGCCGCGCCGGGACCTGGGCCCTGCTCGGGGGGACCAGGACCTCACGCTCTCCACTCCAGTGAGGCAGGCCGCCCCGAGTGGACAGGGCCCTGGCTGGGAGACCGGCCCCTCCGGCCTCCCACCCGGTTCCTGGCTCAGTCTGGGACCCGGCCTGGGGGGAGGAGGGGAAAAGCCATCTCAGCTCAGGCTGGACCCCCAGGCACAGTCGCCCCAACATGACCATCCTCGCCCACACCAAGGCTTCCACCCAACGGGATCTACTGGGACACACGTCACATGCCCACTGAGGCGTCGCACACGGCTACACAGGAGCCGTGGGCACTCTTGTACACAGCCCTGTAGACTCAGGAAAGGCCTGTGTCCAGGGTGGGGCTGGATCCCTCTTAGGCCAGTCCCTCTTCTTTCTGAAATTTAGCAAAGTTTCTCTTCAACTATTGCCCTCACGAGTGGCCTCTACTTCCCCCAAAAAACATCCTAACCCATTAACCACCCTCCCTGGTTACTGAAGGCTCCAAACTCCCAAACTAACCTCCTTGTCCTCATCCCAAAGCTCCCATCCCCTCAGCCTCCAGGAAGATAGAACGTGCCTCCTAATGTATACGCGTCTGTTTAGGAACAGCAGCAGGGAAAGACAGTGTGGATTTTAACAGCATGCTTGTTGACCCAAACGAGCGGGTTTCTCATAGTAGAGTGGCCAGTGAGGGGCCGCAGAATGAGGGGTGGCAGCAGAGGATGCTGAGCCTGCGCCTGCACGGGCTGGGGGCACGCGCCTGTGGGGGGCCGAGGCAGGAGAAGGGAGGCCGGCCCTGCAGGGGCTGCGGAAGGACCAGGACGACCTGTGCCGGACGCACGGAGGTCTGGCAGCGCTGGTTCAAGGGTCAGGGCCCGTGTGGCTTCCCCCAGGGCTCATGTACATGCTGCTGAAGCACCTGGTAGACAGGTACAACCTCTACTACGCCTACCTGCCGGCCAAGCTGGACAAGAAGATCCACTCGGGGGCTGTGAACCAGGTGGTGGCCGCGCCCATCCTCTGCCTCTTCTGGCTGCTCTTCTTCTCCACCATGCGCACGGGTGAGGGCCCTGCCCCGGGCTGGGGTGCGGCCGCGGGGCTCCCTCCGGAGTCCGGCAGAGCAGGCCCCAGGAAGGTCCGTGGTGGGCTAGGGGGCACAGACAGGCCAGGGAGAGGCGGCAGCACCTGGGAGTGTGGGGCTGCATCCAGAAGGCAGCAAAACGGAGTGGGAGCCCCTGGGAGGGGCCCAGAGGAGAGGTAGCAGCCCATTCTTTGCCTCCCCCCTTCCCCCATAACAGGGTTCCTAGCCCCCACGTCCATGTTCACATTCGTGGTCCTGGTCATCACCATTGTCATCTGTCTCTGCCACGTCTGCTTCGGACACTTCAAATACCTCAGTGCCCACAACTACAAGGTGTGGGGCGAGGGGGTCCGGGGGCAGCCAAGGGCAGACGCTCCAGGGCGTGCAGGGGGGTGGTTGGGAGCTGAGGGCAGGGGCAGCGGGTGACGAAAGGGTGTGGGGTCGTGATGGTGGCTGAGGGGAAGGACACCCGCCCCAATCCCTGACTCATCCCGGACCCTCAAGATTGAGCACACAGAGACAGATACCGCGGACTCCAGAAGCAATGGCCGTCCCCCCACTGTTGCCGCTGTCCCCAAATCTGCGGTAAGTGCTCCACTCCATGGCCAGGGTGGGGAGGGGCCTGGGAGACAGCCCAGCGCTGGCTGACCCGTTGTTTTGCAGTAAGGGGATGGGGGCAGGAGAGACCTGCTTCACTGAGGGCTGCCCGCCTCCCCTGGGCACAGGATCCTGCCCCTTCCCCTGCTGGCCCCGCGACTCCCCGTCCGTCACCCCTCCCCACAAGGGGCAACTGTCCACCCTCACGCCTCACTCCTTTCCCCCTTCAGAAATACATCGCTCAGGTGCTGCAGGACTCAGAGGCGGACGGGGATGGGGATGGGGGTCCTGGAAGCTCGGGGGACGAGCCCCCGTCCACCTCGTCCCAGGATGAGGAGCTGCTGATGCCACCCGATGGCCTCACGGACACAGACTTCCAGTCTTGCGAGGACAGCCTCATAGAGAATGAGATTCACCAGTAAGGGGAGGGAGGGCCCTGGAGGCCACGCC